CCCCGAAGAGGTGAAACCCCACCGAAAAAAGCCGAGTACCACAATAATTGATAAGGTGAAGATAAATGGACATACCGCCACAAATCAGAGCACCATCGGCATCTGAGGAAAGGACCCCAATCTCAGGCCAAACTCTGACCGCGATGGACGCCATCACCGTTCGAGAACTCATCAGAAACCGGGAAGAAGACCTTCAATCGCGAACAATCAATGGCAACATATCGAAGAAGAGTTTCATCCAGAGCGAGTCGGGCGGTCAAAGATGACCCCTGGCCGAGCAATGCCGCTGCTGAGGAAGGCGATTCGCCGAATTGAAGAGGAAGACGATGGGATTTTGGGGGTAGGGTTTTTTTTTTGGCGAGTTACGGGGGAGGTTCTTGTTAAATTATTTTAGATTGTAATTATATATAATATAAAACGTGGTATGTTTATTATCTGACTAATGATTTTAAAGATTACAAAAACATATATACAACATATAAAATTATATTTTCATCTTCGTATATGCACATGATCGAATGCTAATTACTATACTTGAAGTCATCTTACAACATATTTATTACTTAACTATTTTTTTTTACTCCAGATGCACTGCAATAAAATGATGAAATTTCAATGAAATTGCAACAACAATTCAATTGATTCATACAAAAATTATAACAAAAATATTCCGTTGAAATGAGTATTTCATTAGATTATTCGTTGGATTTTAATGATTTCAACAGCAAATTTTTCAAAGGTTGAAACAAAAATTTCAACAAAAATGATATATATATTCTTGTGGAAATTCTACGGTAATAATCCCTTGAAAAATAGTTGTTGGAATCATCAAATACTAATTAAACCATCAATGAAAAATTAATTTACCAGAGTATTTTCGTTGGAATTTCTGTTGGAACTATTTCAACGAAAATTACACCATTAAATTATCTATTGGAATCTCTATTGATATATTATCGTTGAATTTTCTGTTGGAATATGACAAATTTTTTGTAGTGATGTAATGTGTGGAACTTACACATTATACTCTAGGTAACTAAATCAACTAACAAAATCACAACTCAAATAATAAAAACTATTTCTTAAAAAATAAATCCACATATATGCATTTTCATCAGAATTTAAAAAAATATATAGGTAAGGCTCCATTTTCAAGTAACATTCCCTTATATATTAATTTAAAACTTGCCTAAGTGGCAGACTCACATGCTGCGTGATCCTATGTGCAAAATTACATGCTTCATTATTAGGTTTGGGTAGATTTTAATTTACTTCAAATAAAAAAATAATTAGATCCAGATTATCCATAAATATGTTAATTATTTATAGTCATGATACATGTATTAATTGTATTTTAATATCATTTCTTATTATAACCATTAAATTGTAAATGTATATTAAAAGTTAACAACCTTCGTATTTTTTGTCAGTTTCACATATGTTGTTATTTGATTTGTAACAACGTAACTGAGTTTAGCCGGGTCAGATAAGGAAGGAGCGAGCAAGCAGTCTTGGGTTTAGATGGGCTTTGCCAAAGAAAGGAATGAACCAAGTGCCATAGCCCCAACACCGGTTCTTTTGGCTTCATCTTCTGGGAATCGGCCGCTCCGCGCGGGTTTAGGCACTTTGATGCTTGGAGCATGCTAGCCAGATCTCTACCGTCTTATTGATCGAAAGCTAGGGATACTTATCAACACGTAGTTATGGTGTGACATAGGATATTATGCCCACAAGGCTAAACCGGCTGCTGAACCGGTCGAAGGGGTTGTACTGTGAAGACACCGAGCCAAGTGGTGAGAAAATCGACCAGTCAACCAGTCGACCAGTCAAGCAGTCGACCAATCCATCATTCGACTAGGAAAACGATCGAGCAGTTTAGTCGACCTCAACAGGTCGACCACTCCGCAGACTTAACACTTCATAAATCGGTCTAGTCACAAGCGCGTGTAAGAGTCTCTAACGGAATTTCAGAAGAATATTTACCCCATGTGCAGAAGGACAAGTATCGAGAACACATTGGTTGATAGCGACAACCACCTCTGACAGCTCCCAACGTCCCGCGCCACCTCTGACATGCCCGCGGTGTGTCAGAGTACGGACGGGCAGCTTGGGCAGCCAGCTCACCAATCTGGGCAGCCTTAGGTCAGGTATCTCACTCTTATATAAAGGGGATGAGCCTTTCTTCCTTGACACGATTTTTCCATTATTCAACTCCAGTATACTCATACACATACTGACTTAAGCATCGAAGGCTCTTCACCGGACACAACCCCGGTGTGAAGTTATTTGCAGGTTTCTGGCATTCTACCGGCGAAGGCGAGGTTCGATCCATCCTGAACCGGGCCAGAACGCTCACACTTGCATCAGGGTGCAAACACAATAATTTTGTATTATATGTTGGGATTTATGTGATACACGAAGTCGGTTTTCTGTATGAACCGAGTTATTTTAGTACAAAATGCATATGGAATGTTCAGAATTCGATCCTCGTATAAGATATAGTTTCAAATATCTATAGTAACTCTGGTTGGCTCGTATCTCAAGGTGTGTATGGCTGCATTAAATGTAAAGCACCTTTAAGAGGTGATTTGTGGCAGTTGGGCCCACTGAGATGGTGATGGAATATGTCGTACGTAACAGCGTCACGTAAGTGCTTCGTCACCTGCTTTGGATTCGGTGAACTCTGTTTTGTCTCCACGTCGGTTCAAAAGAAGGGATTTCAGTTTTACTAGAGATCTTTGTCGTCTTCGCGTGTGTGTGGTTTAATTTCGGCCAGTCTGGGGCGAGTTGCTATTTGTTTGTCATTAATATTGTTTTGACGTCCTTAGTCATGGCTTTTGTCTTTTAAGCCTGACATGACCAAGTTGGTAGTTAACAGATAGGCCCCCGACATTAGCAGGCTTATGGGAATGATGGTCGGTAATGTTGTTTGCGAGTTTCCAAACTTCGACTTGGAAATTCCGACGTTGTATGTTCCGACTTTCAAGCTCGTTACAAGGTGAGGATACTTTAATAAATCTGGTATGTTAACTTCTTGAACTGAAGCGGTGTAACGACTGTTTGGACACACGACAGTTATAGAAAGACGTGCCTGCACTTAATAGGCGCAACGGATTGAATCGGTACTACCAGGTGTAGGTTTTTTATTGGTCCACATGTATTAACGAGGTGTGACAAAATGTTTTGTTTCATACATTCACGTCGATTCCACGCGGCCTTCTTTCATGCTCAACGGTCACAAAGATTGCACTTATAAATACGTGAATTTTCAACTCGTCAGGGTTTCACCTTTGCAATTACCAAGTTTTCAGACATTCGCATCGCTATAGCCTTCAAATCTTATTTTGCTTTCTACTTGCATCCTACTGCACTTTTGGCTTCTTCGACTTTGTCGCTTCGGGCTTAGATAACTCGGTAAGCTGTGGTCTCACTCTTTCTTGTTTTTGTAGCATTTTATAGAATTTTAGTTTTCGTCGTCGAGACATAGGTTCGATAAATTCGGAATAAGCAGCTTTGAGTAGTAGTAAGACAATTTTCGAGAAGATTGTTGACTCGGAGGACTTGGAGTTGGCGCTTGAGTAT